GCAAAATAGTTGTCACTTTGATAATACCTTACCGTATTCAGGAAAACGATTGTTAGACAATATTTATTGAAAATAAAATTTTACAATATGACATGATGTATTAATTTGGGTTAAATTTATAAATTAATATGTATTAACTTATTTGATATATAAGTTTTGAAATGTAAAATAAAATTTCATTATGAGAATTGTTTTTATTTAGTATTTAGTATAAGAATATGATAATTTGAAAGTAATATTTTAAGCAACCCTTTAAATCAGGTAATTCACCCAAAAAGAAAAATAAAAATAAAACCATCGTGCACAATCCATGGAGGCAGGAATTTAACAATAACAAATCATTAAAATTCATGTTTGTGCATAGTTTCTTCACATCCCCTTTTTGCTTTTTTCCATATCTATTCTGTTAGTGTTGCAGTTGTATTAATGTTGATCCGCAACATGCATAACTGCATGCATTTGCCTGGATGGTTTTGGAAATCCACGCATGTTCTTCCAACCCAATTATTACGTATTTCCTGTGATTTATCCTCAATTCATTTTCATTTTTTTTAATTTGCAGCAAAAAGTATAAATAATAGTTAATCTTATTAACTTGTGATTCAAATGTAAGATGTATATAAAATCATTGATACGATAGAAATAATATATCTTTTTTTTTTTTATCGTTTAATTTCAAATTAAGATTAAGAATTTGTAAAAACAAATCCACAATCTCAAAGTTGTAGACTTGTAAATTTCAATTTTTAAATTTTTAACCAATTACAAGGGGTTTCATTTGTTCAACCATATATCTTAACTTATTCATCTACTCCTTAAAATCCTTTTGATTCAAAATAATTATTTTTATTTTTATTTTAAATCTATTTCAAATTAATCATTATTTTTTAAGATAAATAAATATTTTTTATTTTAAACTTATTATTATTCATTTATTTTAATTAATTATCCAATCACAATTTTTTTTTATTTTTTAAAGATATTATAAATAAATGTAAATATTATATCTAAATTTTTAATTTAAGAAAATTAAAAAAATAATAATTATTTTAATACAAAAAATTATAAAAAAAAAACGCTTATAAAATAATACTACTTTTAGTATTGCCCGGATTAAGCTACGAGTTCACTAAATTTTATTTAAAAAGGGAAATTTCTTTATTTGAGTAACACTACTAGAAAAAGCTTTATTTTGAATAAAATATTTCAGACAAAAAAAAAATATTTTGACCGAAAAAAGATTTAATTCGGTCAAAAATTTTGACCGAAATATACTTTAATATGATTAAAAAATATTTAACATAATAATTTGGTTTAAAATTATTTCGATCAAATATATTGACCGAAATAAAAGAGCGCCAATTGGTGTTACCGTTAATTCAGTCAAGTATTTTATCCGAGTTATATTAACAATAAAATAGTAAATATTTTGGTCATAAATTTTGATCGAATTAATTAAGTAATATTTGTTCTAATTTAGTTATATTTTTCGGTCAAAAATTTTGACTGAAATAATTGTCTCCTTTTTGAAAAAAAAATTGTACTAATATAATGCTTTCTTTTTTAAATTTTGTTTAATTTTCCATAAAACAATTTCGATCAAGCATTTTGATCGAAATAATTGTCTTCTTTTTGTTAAATTCTATTAGTATGATGCTTTCTTTTTGTAAATTTTTTAAATTTTTTATGAAACTATTTTGGTCAAGAAACTGGACCAAAATAATTTTCTTCCTTTTTTTTAAAAAAAAATTTCTATAGAAAATTATTATGACGCTTTCTTTCCTAAATTTTTTTAATTTTCTATGATATTATTTCGGTCAAGCATATTGACCGAAATAAATCTCTCCGTTTTTTTTAATTGTATTAGCATTGCACTCTCTCTCTTCTTCTTTTTTTTTTTTTTTTTTAAATTTTCTATAAAACTATTTCAGTCAAGCATCTTGACTGAAATAATTGTCTCTTTTTTTTTTAATTATATTACTATGGCGCTTTCTTTGCTAAATTTTTTTAATTTTCTAAGAAACTATTTCGGTCAAGAATATTGACCGAAATTATATTGTTTTGGCTCCAAGAATTAAGTGAAATTTTTTAAATTTTTTGCCAAAATTATTTCGGTCAAAATTTTTATCCAAAATTAATGTTTTGGCTCAACAAATCAAGTGAAACATTTTGAATTGTCCGCAAAAACTATTTCGGTCAAAAATTTTGACCGAAATAGTTTAAACACTTTAGACACTTTAAATTATATTTTACACATTTCCTTCTTCCTTTTTTCTGCTTTTCCATTCATTCCGCCTTCAACGCCCATATTTCTCATCTTTCTCTTCCTTTTAATTACTTCCCCTCCTTATTTCTCTTTCCTTCCATCATTTTCTTTCATTTCTTCCTTTTTCTCATCTTCTCTTTTCTTCACTTTCCCTTTTCTTTCATTCAAGCTTCTCATCCTCTCTTCTATTTTCTCACATTCTTTTTTCCTCATACATTCCTTCCTTTAGTTTCACCTCCTTAAATTTCTCTCATTTTCTTTCTTCCTTTACTTTTAATCTTATTAGTTTATTTCTTTTACAATTTACAAGTTTGTTTCAATTAATATTGATATCAATTTTATT